ACCGGTGTAACTTTTACTAAGTATTACACCGCTCAATAACTTTATATTAAATGTGAATTTTGTAAATCCAACCGTTAGATTGAAAGTTCATATCACTTTATATGTTTATATCAAATTTTGTTAAAATTGAACAACAACTTGAAGGTAATCAAAATGTTCATATTTTAATATATTTTGAAATGTATATATTACGTCAATTTTGTTTTACAAGAATGAAGTATCAAATCATCTTGAATTAATATAAAATTTTGTATATATGATCTAAGAGTAAAAAACTTTCAATCTAATGGTTGAAGTTATAAAATTCACATTTAATATAAATTTACTGAGTAGTGTAATACTTAGTAAAAGTTATACCGGTGTTATTATAATCTTTCTCTTTTAAAATATTATTTTTATAAATTAAATTTTAACATTTTAAATAAATTATTAATTAACTTAATATATTTATTCATCTTAAATCTAAGATATAAAATTCAAAAAATGTATTTATCCTTGTTTTATTTTCTAATTATCAACCATTAATAAAATACTAATTTAAAATCTTATCTAATTATATCATAATATTTTCATATCAAATTTAAAACCAGATATTAGTTATACAAAAATATCAAGATCATATAGTAAATTGTCAATAAGATTCTAGTTAAATAATTTAAAATAATTAATTTTTTAACTATATTGTTTGCAAATAGTTTATTCCAAAGCTAATCAATTTTTTCTATATTAATTATTAGTAAAATTTAATAACTTTTAATTTAATAATTGGATTCATGAAATTTAACAAACACCATGAGTTATTGAGCGGAGTAACTTTACTAAGAGTTACTTTGTAAGTCATTTAATTCCTCCTCTTCCTCTCTCTCTCTCTCTATATATATATATATTTAAAATTTTATTGATGATCTTTTTTAATATATGATTGTCAATTTTCGTAAAAAATTCTTACATTTTCGATAAATATAAATTTGTCAAAAATATTCCATTAGTAATATAATTTTTTCATAAGAAATATAAATTTTTCGATAGATTTATATCTGTCAAAAATTATTGTCGGATAAATCCGTCAAAAATATAAATATAAATTTTTTGACAGATTTGTATTCGTCGAAAATTACCGACGGATACATCCATCAGAAATATAAATTTTTTGACGGATTTGTATCCGTCGATTACCGACAGATATATCCGTCAGAAATTACCGACAGATATATCCGTCGGGAAGTTTATATTTTCTGACGGATTTGTATCCGTCAGAAATTACCGACGGATATATCCGTCAAAAATATGAATTTTCTGACGAATTTGTATCCGTCGGTAATTTGCATTTTTCTTGTAGTGATAAGGCAAAGAGCCTCTGGCTTGTCCATGCTTGACGCCAAACTATTTGTGTCTAGCATGAATGAGGTAGAAAGCCTTTGTATCCATCATGCCTAACGTCACAACACTAGTACATAATGTTGTCTAAGAAGAGAACTTCTATCTTGATCACGCTTGGCACCACTCAATTGGAACCTAAAGTCATCAAGTTAGAGAGCTCCAAAGGCATCCACATTTAGCGCCCTTCAACCCACACCCAATGTAACCAAGTTAGAGAGGTCTCATCTAGCTCAGACTCGGTGCTACCAATCTCGCACTCAACATTAGTGAGGTAAAGAGTATTTGACCTGCATCACACTCGACATCATGAAACTAAGTTCGACGTGATGGTGAATTCTACACTTAGTAAATTCATGAAATTGACTCCAAACCTGAAAATTAGTAAGTCAAAGCCACATACAATGTCAAAAATCACATATCTACATTATAAGCAACTCATCCAACATTAGATTCAACATGGACTCATAAATAATAAATTATCATCAATTTACCTCTCTTAAAAGCAAAGTAAAAAAGTTCAATAATTCAACTCCAATCAATAACAACTTAGTTAATTCAAGAAGAAACCAACATGAAAAACATGAAATTAGCAAGCCATAAGCTCCCCCTTACTTCTAAAACCACTAGAATCAGGGAAAGAAGAAAAAAAATGGGGATTTCCTTGCCAACTTCGCACAATCATAATAACTACTTTGATTCTCAACTTTGAATATCCTACTAGCCACCAAAATCCACTCTCGAGGGAAGGATATATAAAAGAAAATCTATGAATTTGGAAGAGAAGGTGGTTCTCCTCGGCTCCAAAGTTTCAATATCTAACTTTTCTAAAAAAGTGAA